CTCGGGCCGGCGCTGGCTGGGCCCCCGCGGCGAGGCGCTGCCCGGCCGCTGCCTCATCCGCAGGGTCCGAGTCGCCCCGGACGCAGGTGAGGGCTGGGGTGGGGGGGCTGCTGCCCCCTTTCTGCCCCGCGAACATTAATATCTGATTTTTGTACCTGATCTGCACCCATCGCCTCGCCAGCAGGGACAGAAACGGACAAGAGAAGGTTGCTATGCGAAGCGTGTCTGGAAAGCAGCCCCCTTTTTGCTTGGTTTTGCTTTTTTATGGAGGAACGATCTAAAGCAGGGGTCTCCCACCGTCTTGAGTAGGAGATCACTTTGGGCATTTAAAAGCAACCTGAGATCTACCCTGTGCTGCTGCTGCCAGTGGCCCCCCCCCCCCCCACCCCTTCCGCCCAGCAGGTAAACTGGGGGGAGATCAAAACAGAAAGGAAAAAAAAATGATTTGGGGGCTCACCTCCCCCAGCAAGTAAGTCCCACCCAGCCGGGACCCCGCTCAACTTACCCCTGCTCCTGCCTCTGGCACTTACAATGGGGGCCTCAATCTAGCCCCTCCCCTTCTCTTCTCCCACCGACTGACCTGCTGGGCTGGGGGGGGTGTGGGCACTCGGCGCCCCCAGCCTCGGATTGACTCCAAGAGGCGCAGAGATCTACCAGTGGATTGGTTGGTAACCACCGAACTACAGTCTGACCTGGAAACGAAAAGAATGTTGTAAAGCGGGGTTCTGACTACAGTTCCCTCGTGTCATTGGCCTGAGCACTTCCTGTAATAGAGCAGTATTTAATAAACCAATTAATGTTTTGTGGTGTGACGCATGGGTTATCATGCGAGTAGAAAGGCTTTTATTTTTCAGTTGTTTTGCCTGATGCATGAATCTATTTGGTGAAGTGTTTCTGGGAAGGAGGAACCCCCCCCAGCACACCTTGTAGGTTGGGGAGTGTCCTTCTCAGCAGCTCGGAGGCAGAGAGGGATCTTGGAGTCATAACTGAGTCCAAGATGAACACGAGCCGGCAGTGTAACGAGACCATCAACAAGGCCAGTCGCACCTTGTCGTGCATTAGCAGGTGCATGACTGATAGATCAAAGGACGTGATGTTCCCCCTCTATGCGGCGCTGGTCAGACCGCAGTTGGAGTGCTTTGTCCAGTTTTGGGCGCCGCACTTCAAGAGGGACGCGGGGAGTCTGGAGAGGGTCCAGAGGAGGCCACTCGCACGATTAGTGGCCTTCGTGATAGACCCTACGGGGGGAGGTTGAGAGAGCTGAATCTCTTCAGCCTTCACAAGAGACGGCTGAGGGGAGATCTTGTGGCCGCCTATAAATTTATTAGGGGAGGTCAACGGGGAATAGGGGAAGCACTGTTTACTATGGCGCCCCAGGGAGTGACTAGGAATAACGGGTGTAAACTAGTTGAGAGTGGATATAGGTTAGATATTAGGAAGAAATGTTTCACAGTAAGGGTGGCCAGGATCTGGAATGGGCTCCCAAGAGAGGTGGTGCTATCACCTAGCTTGGACGTCTTCAAGAGGAGGATATAGTCACCTGGCTGGGGTCATCTGACCTCGGTCCTCTTTCCTGCCAGGGGCAGGGGGTCGGACACAGCGGTCCATTGTGGTCCCTTCCGACTCTACAATCTATGAATCTGCCTTGTGTGATGGGTACTTGAAGGTTTGAAACAAATGTCTGAGAGAGAAAAGTAAAATTGCATCCATTGAGAACTTCTAACAGAACAGAGCACCCTGCGCTGTATGAGCTCTGTGTCTCCCAGGTGTTAAAAGCCATGTCATAAGCATCCTTCTCCAGTCTGATTTTCTGGGTGAAACCCTTGTGTTTACCTAAGGCATGGCACAGTCTTAACCTGCTGTCTGTTTCTCCTTAGACGTGGACACATTCACCTACAAAACTAAAAAGGAACTTCAGAGTAAAACCCAGAGCGAAACTTTCACCCAGACTGACTTAAAGTGGCTGCCTGAGCTGAACCCTCCTGCGTTCATGCCCCAGGGCAATGTGGGAACCCCTTTGAGTGTCTTCCTGGAGCTGATCAGGGCCTGCAGGCTGCCACCCCGAGTTATCAAGAAACTGCAGCTGAACTTCCCCAAAACAGGCTCCTCTCGTCGCTATGGGAATGTGCCCTTCAAATACCAGGACACTGAGACTTTTGCACAAGAGCTGGTCTATACAGCTGCAGGTGATGAGATCACAGAGGAAAGTGAGCCTGTGATAAGTTCTGGGGTGCCGGATCAAACGCATGACGATGATGATGATGACGACATTGGGGAAAGATCAGGAAAGGAAAAATCGGAA